CTTGAGAGGATCAGAATATCACACGTAAACCACAGATCGTTTAAGAATTGCTCATTTATGTTCAACTCTTGATGTTCCCAGGCGAATATCTTGAAAATCTGTTCTGAAGCCCTGTTAAGGCTGCTGTGAATAAATTCAGTGATACAGCAACAACCTGTCGAGTGTCCATTTCCATTCTGAACTTGGTTGAGTTTTCGTGAAATTTCACAGTAGCAGTTGCATGCATGTAAATCATGATAATCAGGGTTATGTATATTTCTTCGAATACATGGCTTTTCAAGAAATGCGCTACAGAGCAGATGCATTCTGAGTCGAAATCTTCTCGAAATCGACGATCCTCAAGAATAACGGAAGCGGATATTTTTTGCTTGCCTGAATTATTTGTTGTACCATCTGGAGACGAATCATTGCATCAAATTCACTTTAAAATCATGCTTGTTCCTATGGCTATGCAACGTCCAGTTTTCTCTGAAGTGTATTCGTTAGTATTTTCGTGAAGACTCTGTAGGTGATTGGCAATAAACTGATAAACTTTCAGTTCTTAGCATTTTTTCTATTTTCCTTTTATGGGAGTAGTAACACCGATCGTCAAAAATTCTCAGTGCCGTCAGATAAAGTGAAAACAAGCGCGTTGATATCTTACTCAGCACCTCACTTTCTAATTCCATGAGTTTCGCTGTTGTGTCATCGTCACCATTTGGGTTTCCTCACTTTGACTGGTTTTTTGCATCTCGCACTTCTTCTAGCAATACATCTGTAGTTTCGTGAACTTCATTTGCATCTTCAATTTGCTTATAGTCACAAAAGGAGTTGACATTTTCATAACTGTATAGTTATCTATGGAAATCTTTCACTCGCTTTGGAATCTCTTATTTATTCCTGATGACAGTTCTGTCATCTGTTGTGAGAGCTAAATTTTGTCGTTTCTGAGTCGTCATTCTTTGATTTCATTTCTGCATACCTCCGTCGTTTTCAAATAGTTTCTTATAGCAATCAGCAGCTGAAGTTTTGCAAAATTCAACGTAATCAATCTTTAATTTCTGATCTGTTGCTGTCGTCGTTTCTCTTTGTTTTTTCTGAGCCCTAATGTTCGTTTCGTGATTCTACGGTCGATTTTTATCCGTCCTTTCACCAGAGACAATTTCTGCCGTTTGTGCAACTGTTTTCATTATATCATGATACATTCCGTTAATATTCCCTGCTTTTCCTCACTCTTCTTCTTGTATTCCACTAAGAACGTCAAATCGGTTATTTAATTTGAGTTGGAATAGCGAGAGTTTTTTCTTAATGTTTTCACCCTGAGTAACCTGTGTTTCGCCTCACGAATTTCCTTTTTACTAAAGCTGAGTCCAAGCGCAGTTTGAATCTAAGAAGCCGATGGTCGCATTAAACCCCTTTGTCACCTCTATAACTTTCATGGTTTTCTTCATGCTGCTGAGGATAAAATCGCGTTCATTCATGACGTCGCCTGGGCTTAATTTTTCCAAAATGGTGTTGATCATAAATAACTTGTTCTCTTAAGTAAAATTTATTGGCTAGTCACCTCTGTTGTTCCTTTCGTCGTAAACAAATCGGCTCATGTGGCATTGTTGCCGCCCGACTAAAGCATTGAATCTACCAGTGATGAACTTGTAATGGGTCATTCCATGTTCATGCACTTCTATTTCTTCGTACAAATCTTCGTTCCCTTCATCAGGATGGTTTAATGTCGGTGCATTTGCTTGGACCACTTAGAGTTCGCATCTCTTCGAAACTCTCAGAACCAGTTTTGCACACCTCCTTGAAGTGCTTTTCACTTGTACTACATTGTTCTCTAATCTTCCATGGACATTGAACCTATGCCTCTTGTATTTCTGATCCTCCTTAGAACAGAAGGTGTCCATTTTAGGCTCTTAAACCTCCTTTATTCTTCTAACTTCCCTGAACCCTACAATATGACATTTTATTTTCCTAAGGTTATCTTGCGACTCTTAAAGTCTTGCTTCACCTAGAAGTTATCTGCAATTGTACTTCAGTAGCGTCAGTAAACCGCAGCAGCAACAACCCGAGTATTCTTAGCAGTCTTTGCTTGCATGCAGACTCTCGGAAATCCAGCCTTCGGGGAGTGAAGGCCATGGTTTTAATTGTGATTTCATCTTGGAGGATTTAGTTATAACTTACCCCACTGGTCAGACGAAATGGTCAGTGTCGCCTCTTCATCCCGCCTGGTACATTTCTCAAGCTTTCACATTTGGTTTAACCTGCAGGAGCCTGAAAGCTCAGCTTTACATTGCCTTGAGAACCCAGTGTCATCTTCATACCATGCTGAGGTAGTGGAAGCAGGAGTAAGGAGGGTATAAATATCAGTTAAAATTAACATTAATTTGATTCATTTGTATCTGATTTTCATCCTGCACCAAACTATTCTCATAGGGGGAAGCTAAACATAATAACTAAACAAAGAGAGATGGTTGGTTAGCTGCCATTTTTAAATGGAGCAAATTTTATTTAGATGTGCTTGAAAAAATCAGCTGACTGCTAAAATTTTGGCTTAGAAAATGGCAGAGTTCTCATTGGAAGAGTACTAATGTGTCAAACAACTAACGAGCAGCTTGAAATTGATAACTGTTAAACACAAATTTCTCAGCACTTCGAATATTTAACAATCCAAAAACATTCGAAATTATGAGCGACTGTGTCAAGCTTTTTTGAAGAAACACCAGACAAATGAAAACAACCTGAAAATTAGATTTAGACTAGTCGAAAAGCGACTATTTATTAATTGGGTGGTTTTGATGACTGGCTTAAATGTCTCACGTTTACACCTGTCATAGTGATTATGTTAAAGCTTCATATTGGAAAAGCTTAAAAGTGTGATTCTCTTCATACAAGTAATAATAAGCAAGTAAGACATATAACAGAAAGTTCTTAGACTTTGATTCACCGAGTAGGGGAGAAAACAATGATAGAACTTTTCCTTGATCTACATATTTACCCATAGAATTGCACCGTCCCTTGCTCATAGGCACCTAAGGGACCACAAAGCA